TTTAAAAGTTAAACGGTAAAAACGGGTTAAAAGGGTTAACGGTACGGTAGTGTACGGACGTCGTACGACCTACCTACGGTACGACTACCCCTCCCCTCCTCTCTCTCTCTCTCTCTCTCTCTCTCTCTCTCTTTCTCTCTCAAAAGAAAAAATAGTTTAGTTTAAAATGTGCGGATAGAGAATAATAATTATATATAACACTAATTAACACATTTATCTATTTATAGAGAACATTAATTAACGCATCTCTCATTAAAACATTAGTTGGGTGTGCGGTCTTTTACTGGGGCACACATAAAAAATAAAATATATTTTTGAAAAACTATAAAAAATATATCTTAATTTTCTTCTAATTGAAAAAACACCTTCAATTTTCATAAATTTATTCTATACCATTTTTTCTCAATTTTGACATTTTTTTTTTTACCATAATAGCTTTCATGGTAGTCGTATTACCGTAATGACTATAGCATTAGGGTACTTTAAGTATGGTAATGACCAGGCTAAGCATTATGGTACTTCAAAAACTGTAATGCTCAGTGAATCTCTTTCTCCCTCATTTACTACATCATTTTAGAAATTTAAGCATTATGATCTTTAAAGTACCGTAATGCTTAGCCTGGTCATTACGGTACTTAAAATACCATAATACTTAGCTTTGTTATTACGGTATTGTAATACGACTACTGTGAATGATATTTTGATAAAAAAATAACCAAAATTGAGGAAAAATGATGTGGATAAGGTTTATGAAAGTTGAGGGTTTTTGTCCAATTAGATAAAACTTAAGATATAATTTTTATAATGTCCCTAATGATTCTATATGACCCTCCCCCATCCATGTGTGTAGGACCCCAAAAGATTACCATTAAAGTTGGCATGAATTTCTAGAAAAGTTATCACATGGGTGTAAGACTTGACTTTTCCATAGATCCGTATCAAATTTAATGGTGATCATTTAGGATCCTACACACATGGGTGGGGGAGAGTCATGTAGGATCATTTCTCTTTTTATAATGTCCCTATATTTTTTTATAAAATAAAATAACCAATATATCCTTGTAACTTATAAGGGTATTGTAGATATTTTTATTTTACCAAAGGTATTTTTATTTTATTTTTTACAACTGGCTCAAGATGCCTACATTTCATGTAAATATGATTTATAAAAAAATTAATAATAAAATAATATTTAACATAAAATTATTGTTGAAGCTATCTCAACGATTTATTCAGATTGGATCAGAGTGAGATGGGGCATACATAATTTTTGTTTACCAAAGATCATTAAAAAAAAAAATCCTTTTTATACATATTCATGGAAGTGAGTCCACAACTCACAAGAGCGTCCTACCAAGTCATCACACTTAAAGAGTTCTTTACTTAATGCGAACATATCTTTCACAAAATTAAAAAGGAAAAAGTTTTTTTAGAGTAAGACTCTAATGAAATAGAGCCCGCCTAAAAATTTTTACTAGAAGAGATTGTTTTGATGCCCAAATATTCTCGAATTGATCATCTCGACATCAAGATGTATGAACATAAGAAAAAAATGGATTTCAAATTTAAAAAATAGTACATCTTGCAATGCATTTTATGATCGTTAATGTTCAATATTTTTAAATTTTCACATATCAGCTCGATCAGTATTATTTTGAAGCTTTAAATTTTATAATTACATATTAAAATATATTTTAGGCTATCACAAAGATTTTTAATATTGAAACCACATTTCTCAATACTATTTGAAGTGTGCGCTTTACGTTGATCGTTTAGGGTTGGCTTTATATAGAAGATTAGAGCATTATTGTCTTTCTCCTCTGATATTTAAATTTTGACTTACGCCCGTGGGCCCATATACCTGCCGCTGCTTCTCCTTCTGCTTCCCCCAAACCAATGCCCCCCCTCTCTCTCTCTTTTGAATATTCTCTGTCTCTCTCTCTCTACACAAGAGGGACTGTTGCCTAGGGAGGGACTCGAGCGAACATCCTTCTCTTGTTTAAATCCACCTCCTTACAGGTACCATATTATTTTCAGTCGATTCTTCTATTTATCAGTAATTTTCTCACTGTTGATTTAATATGAGTTTTTGGTTATTGCAGCCTTTTTTTTGTTTGAATTTTTAGGTCTCTGGTTTTCATCTTGGATTCTACGGCCGTTTTAGGCGCTTTCCATGCCTTATTTTTGTTGGTTTTGATTCTTTTACGTAATTGTGGCAGGATCTGTATTATTTCCTGCAGGAACTACTGTTTTTTATTTAAAATTATTTCGTGGACATTCAGTGCGGTGGAATTACAGGTAAAATATTTAGAATGTGATGTTATGATTCATGATGGCTTAAATTGAATTACATTTATCAGGAATTTACTAAATCGGTATTGATACTGTAATGGTTTTGAGTCATGAAGTATGACCCTTCATAGTCGGTTGTAAGTTAACAGCAGTTAGAGTGGATTTTTTTTCCCCCTTTTTGTCAATTTTTTGATGATGTGATGTGTTCAAATGATAATTTATCATTTTGTTTGGAACATTTTTATAAGTCGTTCATAGTGACCGAGTAATTTTAGAGGATTAATTTTTACTTCTGATTTCTAAACTTGGAATGTGATCGAGTTCTGAAGTTTTGCAATAGGTTTATGGACTGTAAAGCTTAAGAGATTAGAGTAAAATGTCACATATTATCTTTTTGAATATGTGGCATGGCATCGGCAAAAGCCTATTTCTTTATATGTTTTTTACTGCATAAAAATTTGCCCAAATGCAAGGGGTTGTGAACTAGAGTTCTGATGGATGAGAACAATTGCGAGGTTTTCTTTAAAGGACTTAGTGTCCCAAATTTCTACTAGAATTTTGCTTGCATAAAATTGGTAGTCATGAATGATCTTGTATTCTTTACCTCCCACATTGGACTTCTTCTTTCCTATCTTGAATAATGGGGACCCTGACATGATAAATCACTATTTTTTGCATGATAATTGTTGATAGGTCTAAACTCTAACTATGCATGCCTATTCCCAGTTTCTTGTATTACAAATAAACCCATAAACCCCCATTGTGTTGCTTCCTAGACGGTGTGATATTTCCTATACTTAAAACATACAAAATAAAAGAGTTAACCGACTTTTTCCTCTCTTTTCTATTCAATAAAAAACAATAGTTTCAATGGGTTCTCGTTTTAAAATGTGTACATTATTTGTAAGTCTGGTTTGAAGTAAATCAAGGTTGGTTTATGCAAAAAAATTCTTATTCTCATGTGGCAGCAGAATGATTGATTGGGAGCTGAAGACATGTTGCAGTCATGAGCAGGTCGCATTCCTGGCAACTATTGGTGTTTTCACTGTGGTTATTCTAGCGGTATGTTGCAACCCTTGGTTAGCTTTTCGTTATTGAAATTATCTAACTAGATAAAAAATGGGTTAACACATTTTAATTTTAGCATAGGTAACATGGCATTTTGAAAAGAAATAGTTCTTTGGAATGAATTCTTTCTTTTTTGTAAAACAATGTAATGTTGAAAGAAAAAGAACACTAAAAGCATATCTATATATTGGCTCTCTCCTAGTTGAATGATATAGTTCTCACAACTCTTAGTTTGTAAAATCAACAATTGGGAACATCTATTACTGTTGATAGGGAATGTCTATCAGTGCAGTTTACCATTTTCACCTTTTCTTGATTTGATTGTTAAGTTACTGCTTGACATAAAAAACAACTTGCAAAATTATGCCTAACTAGAATCCCATTCTTTTGGTAAGCTATGAAAATCTATCCACAGGATTTGGGGTGGATGAGACCTTAATGGCTTCACCATTTGATGGTTACAAGGGAATAGTGTCTTGGTCTTTTTATCGTTGTTGTGCTGCTCATTCCAAAACCTTGCACCCAATTGTTTTTCCCCATATATATTGTTTAATTTAAATGCACTAATTTTTTGAAGAAACTTTCTCATCATCTTTGGTTACTGCACTACTCAGTGAACTAATAGTTATCTCCTTAGTGGAAATGGTGGTGTTCTATAATTTATATTACTTACAAGCCTTGAGTATGCTAATAATGTCCCTATAGATTTTTTCTTTATAAATTTTGTGTACTCTGTAAACTACCTAAATTTGATATGTAGGCTGAGGTATGCAGCTGTACTTGGGAACCATTGGTGTTTCCTAATCTAATCACTGAATCTCTCTGTAGTTGCCAAATTCAAAGCCTGCTGCTAGAAAAATTAACATGACTAAGTACTTAGTCTTTCTTTGACTGCCTCTTTCCTTTTCATGTTTATTTTTAGCAAATATTGGGTCTCTTCCAAATTTTGGCTAACATGTTGGATCCTTACAGCTTTGGAGGACTATATTGCTGACACCATTCAAGCTTATCACTGTGTTTCTTCATGAAACAAGCCATGCTCTTGCTTGCAAATTGACCTGTGGAGATGTAAGATGCCAAGCCTGATTCACAACATTCTTTTGTTCTTTATTGATATGAATCAAGAATAATTGTGCTCCATGCCATACGTTTCTTCTGGGATGGAAATGTTAATTTTGATCGCTGTTATATGTTTTTACGTTTAACAAATGCTTACATTGATCATATTGTGCATAGTGCTTATGTTTTATAATGATTGATAGTTTAAGTGCAAACAATGTTTGAAAATCTTATTCAGCATTCCAAGGCTTTAGGTTTAGGAAAAAAAGAGTAAAACCTTGGCTGTTGTGCTGTCGTTTCTTTCACTGGGTATAATATGTAACTTTAGCCATGCAATCGTTACAAATGGGTGAGGCTGCAAAGCTTTTTTCTCCTCCCACTTAAGTGGAATATGTTAAGGAATCATATTTCTTTAGGAGTTCCAGTACAGGATGCATGCAAATGTGATAACTAGTGAACTTGCATCTGATAAAATTGAGGCATTGGCATGTATTGCTATGAATGGAGAAGTTCAATGGATGTATAACCTCATATGGCTGTACACTTGGATATGCAGCGAGTATGTGTGGAAAGCTCTATAGGGTTTCGTAATTCATGAGGTGCAACTACGCATGCCAGTCTACATTTTGCATGAAAAACAAGCTAGTGCTTCTGACCTGGAGCTTCATAGTTCAATGCTTATTTATGTGAATCCAATTTTATTGAATTTCATTTGTGAAAGTCTATAGATAGGCAGGTAGAAGTCTGAGCTCACTACATTATTCTTCACATCCATCATGATATGCACATTAATGCAACTACCTGGTCTTGTGCATCATAAGGGGCATTTATGGTCTCTTTTAGTGCTATATTTCGTATTTTCTTCTATGTTTTTAGTTTCTAGCATAATTTTATTGTGGTGGTTGTTGCAAAGTGAGAATCTGAATTTGAGGGTTTAATATTTTCTGAACTATGGCAATTTACTGTGGAAATTTGAAACACCGTGTAGTTGTAACCTAAACCAAATTCTATTAAGGCTCAAAGAAGAGAGCTTAAGAAGAGTTTGTGTTTGCGAGGCAGCATGGGAGAGGACTAACTTAGGGAACACATTGTAAGAACATACCTCAATAACATAGGTATAAATAAATGTGTTTAACTCTTGTTGTTAGAAATTATTGCCTTTCTAGGGTAGAGTTTCCATGGGTTAGCCTTTTCTTTGCTTGTGAAAATCACCTTCTCCTTAAAGAAAGTAGTTCTTGCATGGCCATAAGCTTCAGTTTCTCTGATAAACTCATCTTTTCAGAAAGTGACTTCAAATTGTTTCCCTTCTAGTTAAAATGGTTGATCCGTCCTAGTTGGATCTTTGATTACTTCGTCTCCTTCCTCTTGGAATTCTGGATAGCTTGTATTTGTGTACAACTTCATTCTGGTTATTTTCTAAATGTGCATTACGATTCGTAGATTATATTCATCTTGTCAATGATTATGCCATTATTTAAGTGTCCAATGCTTTTTTTCTACAACTTTTTTATAATGTAAACATGGGAGGTGCAACCCTTATTTGCATTGGGTGAAACATTCCCTAAAAGAGTTCTTTCACTAACTCTAGTGTGCTCTTAGTCCATATAATTTGGGCCTCATTTGCATTATTGAATTGGCCAATGCTTTGGTTACACGCAAGCATTGTCCTCAAATTTTAGATCCCTTTGGGCACGTTTGTTTTTCTGAAAGATATCTTCTGGAAAGTTGAATTTTTTTAACTCTTTTGGAAAGTTGAATATTTTGTTCTGGACGGTTTAAATAAGTTTCGAGTACTGTATTTGATAACCTGCTAGAATGTTAACAAACTTCTCGGTACTGTGTTTCATATATA